AAGGAAGGGTCAGAGGTGCAGAAACGATTTGTTCAAATTTTGTCAGATTTTATTATAATTTGTTAACTCCTAAGACTAATTGGAATGACCGACATCATATGACTTTTTCACATAAGTTTCTTTTCACATATTTAACAGCTTTTAATACAAATTTTAAAAATAGTTGTGGTTCTAAAAAGTTGATATCTAGCACTTACATTATACTATATGCTAAGGTATATTAAAATACATGTGTTATAATTAATTCGTGCTACTTCTATGTATATATAACTGTTGTCAATAGGTGAATCAAGAACAACAGTTGTGGTAGGCCAAAATAAATTCATTTTACTTCACAAATTCTATTTCGATACTTACAACCTAGATGCATTAGCACTCATCATTGCTAAAAGCAATATGAATACTTTATATGATAATATAAAACATAACGAACAAAACGGAAAAGAGAACATGGTCATAGGTTCATCAAAATAGTGCTAGATTATCCATAAACCATCTTCTTACATGTTAATTAGAGCTGAGACAAAAAAATTTCATTCCATTATTATTATCATCATCATCAAAATACAACTTCATCCGTCTACTGATCATTTAAAAATTTGAATTTGGACTACCGACTGATCGGTATCAATATGTCTATCTGTGATATTACAAGTCGTCCTAATGATAGTCATATCCTAATTCTTTGTCGAATAACTAGAATTGTTTATAAGTATGATTGTCTCATTCTTCAGAACGTATCTACTAATGCGAATGAAGTTATACATGTGAACCAAAGAGAAGTTCTCTTGCTGTTAATTTTGTCCACATTTTTTTTCATTTCCGATAAACTTTTGTATGTAGATCATATTACTTAACAATATTCAGTATTTCATTTCATTTCCATCATTTTGAATATAGCATACCACTCTTCATCATTGTGAAGCACTTCAAAGTATTAACATAAATTTGTAATATTCAATTTATTAAGTACCATAATTGCAACTTCTTAATATCTTTAACAGCTATTTCAAATTTTTGTGCACTCATTGAATCTTTGTGTAAACATGACAGCTTCCATCTTTTTATTTTTAACCTGCGTTTCGGTTAAATCCGCTTGTAGCACGTCTACAGTTACAGCCGGTCCCAAGCCCAGACAAAGGAAGAGGGTTGGGCATGGGGTTAGTGACCTAATCCCGTAGAAAACTAACTTGCTAAAAAACGCTGACCAGAAAAAATAATTGAAACAATTAAAACTCTGCCCTGGGAGTCAGAAATTCTTCATTTACAAGAGGTGTGACGCCTCATGATGAAAGCCGAGATTTTTCGGAAGTCACGAGACCGATGCCCCTTCTAACAACCAGAGCAACCATTCATTTAGGTACATGGAATGCTCGTACAATGTGGAACACCTGAAGAGCCATCCAAATTGCTGCAGAAATAAGGAGATACAACCTGGAGGTGCTTGGAATCAGTTAAACACACTGGATGCAGGTTGGACAGCAAATACTAGCTTCAGGAGACCTTCTGTTATACTCCGGCAATGAAGAAGAAAATGCCCCACATACACAAGGAGTTGCATTGATGCTGTCCAGAAAAGCACTTATAGAATAGGAATTCTATGGGCCAAGAATCATCAAAGCTTCCTTCAAAACAAAGAAAGAGGGCGTTAAAATGCTATGTGCCTACCAACGACTACAATGAAGAAGTTAAAGATCAATTCTACGATATGCTGCAGTCAATCGTCGAGAAGTGCTGAACAAAGGACCTCACCATTCTGATGGGCGATTTCAATGCCAAGGTTCGAATGTACAACACCGGATATGAAGATATCACTGGATGACATGAACTGGGAGAAAGGAACGAAAATGGTGAGAGATTTGCAAACCCATGTGCCTTCAATAAACTGGTCATAGGTGACACCATATCCCCACACAAAAACATACACAAAGCCACTTGGATTTCACCGGATCACACTACACAGAATCAAATCGACCATATATACATCAACAAAAAGTTCAGCAGGACGATGGAGGATGTGAGAATCAGGAGAGGAGCTGATATAGCATAAGATCATCACTTGCTGGTCGCCAAGATGAAACTAAAACTTAAGAAGCACTGGACAACGGCGCGGACAACATCACAAAAGTTTAATACGGCCTTTCTTCGAGATGCAGACAAACTCAACAAATTTAGGATAGCTCTCAGCAATAAGTTCCAGGCCTTTCACGATCTACTCAATAAAGAGAGGGAACTACCATGGAGAACAAATGGAAAGGGATCAAGGAGGCAATCACATCAACATGTCAGGAGGTTCTGGGCCACAAGAAACACCGTCACAAGGAATGGATCACTGTTGGTACACTGGATAAGATTGAAGAAAGGAGGAACAAGAAGGCAGCAATCAATATCAGCCGAACAAGAACAGAAAAAGCCAAGGCACAAGCCGAATACACAGAGGCAAACAAGAAAGTGAAGAAGAGTATCAGAATCGACAAACGTAAATATGTAGATGATTTAGCAATGATGGCAGAAAAGGCTGCAAGAGAGGGAAACATGAGACAACTGTATGATACAACAAAGAAACTTGCTGGAAATTACCGTAAGCCAGAAAGACCAGTGAAAAGCAAGGAAGGCAAAATAATCACCAACATTGAAGAAAAATGAAACAGGTGGGTAGAACACTTCAAGGAACTCTTGAATCGACCAGCTCCACTGAACCCACCCAACATCGAAGCAGCACCCACAGACCTCCCAATCGATGTTGGCCCACCAATAATTGAAGAGATCATCATAGCTATCAGATAAATCAAGAGCGGCAAAGCAGCGGGACCAGACAATATCCCGACAGAGGCACTGAAAGCAGATGTAGCAGTAACTGGAAAGATACTGCACATTCTCTTCAATAAGATTTGGGATGAAGAACAAGTACCAACAGACTGAAAAGAATGACTTCTGGTCAAAATACCAAAGCAAGGCGATCTCAGCAAGTGTGATGACTACAGGGGCATCACTATTCTCTCAATACCAGGAAAAGTCTTCAACAGAGTATTGTTAAACAGGATGAAGGATTCCGTGGACGCCCAACTTCGAGACCAACAGTCTCGATTCTATAAGGACCGATCGTGTACTCACGGAATCGTGACTATACGTATCAGTGTGGGACAATCAATCGAATGGAATTCACCACTCTACATCAACTTCATTGACTATGAGAAAGCATTTGATAGTGTGGACAGGACAACACTACGGAGGCTTCTTCGACACTAAGGAGTTCCTGAAAAGATAGTGAATATCATTCGGAATTCCTGTGATGGATTAAACTGCAAAATCGTGCACGGAGGACAACTCACTGACTCGTTTGAAGTAAAGACCGGTGTTAGGCAAGGTTGCTTACTCTCACCCTTTCTCTTTCTCCTGATGATCGACTGAATCATGAAGTCGTCAACATATGGAGGGAAGCACGGCATACAATGGACAACTAGGATGCAGCTGGACGATTTAGACTTCACAGGTGATCTGCCTCTTCTATCACACACGCAACAACAAATACAGGAGAAGACGTCTAGTGTAGTATCAGCCTCAGCAGCAGTAGGTCTCAACATACACAAAGGGAAAAGCAAGATTATCCGATACAACACAGCATGCACCAATCGAATCACACTTGACGGAGAAGCTTTAGAGAATGTGAAAACCGGTACATATCTGGGCAGCATCATCGATGAACACGGTGGATCTGATGCAGATGTGAGGGCGCGGATCTGCAAAGCAAGAGCAGCATATCTACAATTGAAGAACATCTGGAACTCAAAACAATTGTCAATCAAAACCAAAATCAGAATTTTCAATACTAATGTCAAGACAGTTCTTCTGTATGGGGCGGAGACGTGGAAAACTACGAAAGTCACCATCCAGAAGATACAAGTGCTTATTAACAGTTGTCTACGCAAGATACTTCGGATCCATTGGCCAGACACTGTCAGCAACAAGCTACTGTGGGAGAGAACAAACCAGATTCCACTCGAGGAAGAAGCGCTGGAAAGCACACAACTGCGTCACAAGGCAAGCCCTCACATGGAATCCTGAAGGCCAAAAGATGAGAGGAAAACCAAAGAACATATTGCTCCGAGGAATGGAGACAAACAAGAAAAAAATGAACAACAAATGGATAGAAGTAGGAAGGAAGGTCCAGGACAGAGTGGGTTGGAGAATGCTGGTCGGCGGCCTATACTCCATTGTGGGTAACAGGTGTAAGTAAGTAAGTAATATTTTGCAACACTGCACTCTGTGAAAACCTTGAGAACTGAGAATTGTAACCATTTTGCATGTATTTTACGATAACAATACATCTTTGTCTCCGAATTCCTTTGTTTTCAATTCCGGAATTAAGCGCATGACTTAGGTTTCTGCTCAAATGCCTTAAAAATCTTAACACCAGTAGTATTTTCAAATGATTCTGAAACTTCGGATGAACAGATGCAAGTATTAACTTGGTTATTTCACACTGTACGTAACTAAATTAAGCTGTCGAAATAAATGCATTCGTATTGATCTGTTGTTTTTGCATTATATAAGTTGTATACAGAAAATATTTGTATGACAGTATTCTCAGTTTTAACTCCCCAAATTAAAAATAAATAGTTTCTAATTGTATTTCTCATGGGGTTAAAGTAAAGGATTCGGCGATCATTATAGCAGCGATTGCGAGTTTGACTCATATTCCACTTAAAAGAATTACGCCTATTAACCTATGAGGCTAGACTAAAAACTGATGGATGGTGAAGATTTTTAGCTCAGGTGGTTGATTTTAGTGGGGTTTTGTTCTCTGAGATGGATGGTTAGGTCGTGGAGCTTTCATCGTTCTTATGAACGACATCATCAGAATAAACTTCAGTCTACGTGAGGTTTATGCTGATGATGCAAACCATCAATTTGATTTTCTTATTCAAACTTGTTTATACCAAGTTCTTTAGTTATTTAATAGAGAAAATGTGAAAAAAATTAATTCATTGGTTCAGTTATTCATGAAACCTAGTAATTTTTATGGATGAAGTATTCAGATAATCATGTTAATAGTAGGCACATAGAACATTAGCATCAAAACATTTTATTTCGATTATTCTTTGTTAATAAATAAATGGTATTTGTTTTAGAACGTATGCTGTTCTGAGTTCACAAATAATGGATAACCGGTAGAAATTTCACAAATAAATTGAGTAGACATTGTATAGGTGGATAATTTCTTCTGTATAAATGCTAAATAACATAATATTTGTTTCAATTAAGTAAAACTGACGAAAACCCAATGGGCGGCAAATCTACGAAGATAAATGGTACATTTAAAGAAAAAAATTATAAATGAACAAGCAGGATTTCGGATTAATATCCGGTTACGATTGTTTTTTTATGTTTATTTTTGAAAGATAACTTGAAGGGTTCAAGATAAAAATGAAACGATATATGATTTACGCGTAATTATATAATTTTATTCCTGTTTATTGGATGTATTTTAACATGTTGGTACGGTGGATTGTAAAAATGTGTTTTATGAATGTGCAAGAACTGAACTTCCAACTTGTAGTAGTAGGGTATTTTGTGCAAACAAATAAAATAGGGGAAATACACGGAATATTGTTTATACTCAGTTGGTCATAATCAAAATCGTACAGGCTATCACAGAAGGGCTTTGCCTGGGACGCATTACATTATACTGGCATATTATTAATATCAATAGAATGGTTTTGAAATTTTTTGGGGTTATTTCGTAGTTGAATAATTACGTGTGTATAGTAATAATAAATTATATATAATATTAGTTATAAAATGATGATTATATTCCATGTAGAAAGTTTGTCAAGAAGCAGTTTCAACTTCAGTTGACAATAAATCACTGACAAAAGTGCTCAACAGAAAGATTGGTTAAAATAAAGATAGAAGTTGACTTTCTACATCGTAATTAAAGTACATAATAGTTTTGTATAACAGTACAAACAATTTATAAGCATGCCATCTCATGAAGTTACTAAGTTATAAGTAGTCTACAACTTTACTTCAAAGAATAAGTGTACAGGATTCACGGTAGGGTCTTTTACATGTTGAATGACAAAAGTATATAGTGCATTCACCATGTTATATTTTGGTGAAAAGAAAAGAAAAGGCGTTTATATGCAGCTGGGAAATCTCATGTTAAAATTAAATCGACAAAAGATCTCCAGTGTTATTGTTTAAAACGATCAGTTATATAGAATTACAATTGTCCTTTTAAAAAATGTTATCGGTATTACTGGACTTAGATTGTTCTGATCGAACATCAGACGGTATATCAAACTCTGCACCCAAACCTAAAAGATCACCAAATTCTGTCGGTGCTGTCTGGTTTGTTTGTGCTTCGTCAGAAATAACTGTTGTTACGTTATTGACACGATGATATTCTTCTGATTCCATTGCGTGATTATTGTTATTATCACTGATGTTATTATTTGAAGCATTCTGTTCATATTTTCGATTTGACGATGTTTGTTCATCCGATGTTTCATATAAACTAGATGTATTTTCATCTAGAAGGGATTTCAAAACTGGCTCTTTACGACTACCTAACTGATAGTCAATATCCATTGTATACTTATATTTGGTAAGATATTTTACAAATTTCTCCACATTTCCTGTGTGCTCTACGCTAATGGAACGTACAGTCGCGCCAGATACTGTACTTGATGGCATAGTATATTCAATCTGACAGTATGGAATCAAAGTTTCCCATTCAGGTACTGTATCGTGTGGAGCTAATACTAAATTGCAGGTTAATAGATGTGGACGAAATGATGCTAAAACCAGAAATCAATAAAAAAAATTGTAGCATAATTCATCTTCTCCTTAATAATAAAGTATTTTACAACACTCCTAAGAGCATTCAAATGAAATATTACACACATAAGTTATAGAATCAACGCATTGATTTAAAATCAAACATTGATTTGATACACACTAAAGCAAAAGACGAGATTTATCTAACTCAATGATCATTCTAAGTTTATTAACTTCAAGTTATGAGTTGTCAATACGATAGCTATACTATTAAAGTATAATAAGGTAAAAAAAATCATCCTCCAAATAACTGAATAAGAACAACACTACAGTAGGTAATCCAGGTTAGTAATCAGTACTTCAATATATCAAGTGAAAGTAATTTCTTATCTCATACCACTGATTTATCTTGAAAGCAAACTCTAAGAACTTGTAACTTACTCGTAGCTAGCTTTGTTTGAGGTTACCAAACAACGGTTAAGTTTTAAATACTCAATCAAAACTGAAAAGGGTCTCTGAGATCAGTTCATTTTAATTTCAAGATAACTTTAGGATAAAAACGAGTGAAAATCATCTAGATAATTACAATTATTGAGTGACTTTCTAAGTTTAGTAAATACATTCAACTGATCTCAAGAGTAAATATGAAATCACCACTTTATTCATTTCATTAAACGTTACTTAGCTTTGAAAGCCGGTATTAACCTAAAAACAGTGTCACACCCAATTAACATTGTGAGGGAAAGTTTAAAATTTATATACTGTCAAGTAGTTACCTTCCGATTTTTCTGGTACTCTTGGTATACGCCATACAATAGCTTTATATAAATGTTCATATTTTGCAACACCAATACTTGCCTCCAACATGCTTGGTGGTAATAAACTTTGAGCCATTTGTGTGATCCTTTCTAGACCTTTAATTTTACCTGGCTTACGTAATGTGGAATGTACAGAACCATATTTATGATGCTTTTCAACTCGAAAGTGATAGATCCATTCTTCTGGAAAAGGAATGTTTATTTCAACTTTTTCACACGGTACTGCACCAGATCGTTTACTTGCACTGAAATAGCCTGGTACCAGTAAATCACACCTCATTGAGACCCGGCGTCCATCAATTGTATATGTGACTTTAACTTGCATTGGTAATTCTCTGTTCCCACGTAGGCTAACACGAAATCTCAATAATTCAAATCGACAGCCATCTAATGGATAGAATTGTAACATATGATCTTTTTCATATTCATCCATTTGTACGCATGAATGAAATTCTGGTTTTTGTATATTTATCCATTCATCATGCATTACTGGTAATATATCAGAACGTCTGACAACCTCTCGACCAAAACGCCATTTATCATTTAGTCCAAGTACTATATGTGGACCACCATTAACAAACGCTGTGCAGAATATTCGAGTACGTGCTTTCTGCTCTAAAATTGTTCCATGTACATTTAATTTACCTTCATATTCATCAACAACATAACAACAAACCTCTTCACGACTATAATTTAATGATGTATCTTTATGTGATGGTATTTTCATTAAAGCATCTTCAAACACTGGCATCAATCTACGAATTCTTGACTGGTCTAATGAACCAAATTTTAATATCTCTGTATATATTGGTATGTGATCTAGTGTGATATTTTGTTTAGGCTTATGGGTAACCAAATTTTGTAAATTTTTTATTGAAAATTTCTCCGGTCTCATTCCAACTAATTCTTTATAAGAAACATGATTTAATTTAAAAACATGTAGTTTACCATACTTATCATATTGTTGTAATTTTTCTCTAGACAATTGCATATATGGCTCAATACGTACAGTTTTATATGGTTCAGGTGAAATTTCATCTGTATTCTCAATAATTTCATGAAGAGCTATTACTTTCCGACCATGTTCTTCAATTAGTCTCACAGCTACTTCACGCCAATATCTATCTGTTGTATACTTACTAATTTGTTTAACACGTGTTTTCTTCTCTGGATATCTTAACCATAAACGCCAAGTATCTTCTGTATTAACAAATGGATGAAATGGTATATCTAATTCTGGATCTGGTGTTTCCGGTCTTGGGGGTTCTGGATAAGATGGTTCTGGTTTACTTCCGTTATTTTCGTCTTCTTGTTCCAACTGAATTTCAAATGCTTTGTCAACAACATCTTTATCAAGTTTAAATGCGGTAACATTTGATAAAGCATTGCTATTATTATTATTATCATTGTTATTATTATTATTATTATCATCATCATCAAAGAAGTCTACCCATCCAGGAGGTGTAGTTGGAGAAATATTAGCATTTGTCTCATTAGTAGAATGATTATCCCCTTCCGTTATCATTTTATTTTCTTCATTACTAATCGATTCAATATTTAAATCAAGAATGTTCATTGATTTCGATTGTTGTGGTGGAGGTTGTATGGTGATTGGTAATTCACTATCTTTATCTGTTGATACTACCGTTGATTTCGATTTCATGGCAGTATTTTGCTGTTGATCTTGATTTATTGTAATGTGTAGTGTTCTTGATTCATTTGAATGAGATGAATTTTCATCCTCACTATCCGGATAAATAGTTTGCAGTGGATCAAAACCATCTAAATTAACATTCACATTTTCAATCGTTTGTATTATTTCAGAATTTTGTAGCTCATCTTTAGATTCCTCAACTTCTCCATTGAATGATTCACTAGTATTACTATCAAAACTATCTTTTATTTTACTATGAAGACTTATTTTATTCTGTGGACTAATTAATTTAATTCCAGATGCTATACGTGTTAACTCATCGGTTGAAATGTCAGCGGTATCAGTAATATGAGGATTAATGTTTAACATATCAGGTTCATCAATATCTGAACGTTTACGGAACGGATTATTACCTGATAAAGTTTCTTGTCTAACTGGTTTAACACGTGGTCTAGCTATAGTTTTTAACTCATCTATGCTTGTTTTACGTTCAATTGATTTATTTTTATTTTCTATTGTTGTTGTTGTTGCAATTATTGATATATCTCCAAAATCATCATTAGCAAAAGGATTGATCTCTTCTTTATTATCTTTAATATTCTGGGCATTTGTTGTAAATACCATTCCCTCTTCGTCAGTATAGTCGGTATTATCATAATGCTGATGATATCCCAAGTCATATTCACCAATCATACTACTATGGTCTTTTGATCCTATTTCTACTTCTTCTTCTCCTCCTTCTATCTCGTCTTCATTTTCTTTAACAGCGTGTTGTTCATTATCTTCGTATGAAGATGTATCTGAACTTGAATCAGCTGTAATTTCCGGATCAAAATCGTCGTTTTGTTCATAATTTCCATGTTCTATGTCATAATTGTCATGATAATTTTCTTCGGAAATATCCATAATTGAGTTGGACTGAATAACTTCATTATCGTCTAATTCATTAAATCTATTCAATTTATCTGCTTCCATATTTTTAAAATTTAATTGTGAAATGTGTGGTTTACTGAAATAGCTACAAGTAGTAAGGAATTTCTCTTGAATTAGTTTTTGGTGATCAATTAAAAAAAAATAACTTTCTGGTGAATTTGTTTTTATGTCAATTTGTGAACTATTACAATCAAATTTACTTTCAATAGTTTTGGAAGAACTAGATAAATTGTTCTTACCAGTTGTTTTTTGTTGTGTGGTATCAATAACTGTTTGACTATAAAGTTTAACTTCAGGCAAAGGATAATCACAACCAAATAGATTCTCAGTAGTTCCTGAACGATCTACAACAAAATAATTATCACTAGATTCTGTTTGACTAAAATCACTTTTAATTTCAATTGCTGAATGACCCGATTCGTTTAAATGTTCACCAGTGCCAGTTTGTTTTGTTTGATTAAATTCAACAATTTGTTCAGAATGTTCTGTATTGTTAGGGTCTATCAAATTATTTGCAACTACTGTGTAATGACTCCCAAATGTATCGATAGACTTTTTCCTAACAAGAAGGTCTTCAGTATCTTTCAGGATATTATAGTTGTTAGTTATATCTTCAGGTACTGATCCTCTCACTCCTAATTCGAAGACAATCTCTGAGGTATCTAAATGAGAGAGGTTTGGTGGATGTTGAGAATTGTAATTGTTAAAATCAAGAAACTTCTGGTCAGTTTCTAACTGATTAAAATTTTGTGGATTTTCAGTATCTTTTATGTAATGTGAGTCGAAAAGATTTTCCTCAACAGTTTCGTGATCCCTTCTATGAGCTTCGCCTTCACTTGTTTTCTCTTGACAATGCTGTTCAAATAGATCTTCTTGGAGATTATTTATGTTCTCAAAATTACCAAACAAATTATCAGTACTTTTTAGCTCTGTACGATCAGTGTTTTTGTTGAATATATCTCCTGTACTATCAAACGGTAAACTATTATTTGCTGCGATTAACTCAAAATTCGCCCAGTTCTCATCACCCAATGATGTATGGGAAGGATATTGATTAACTGCTTGTAATGTATTAAAATCTGCCCAATTTTCACCGATACTTTCAACTGGTTTAGAACTGACGAATTGTTCAGAAGTTTGTAACTGTTCAAAAACTGCCCAGTTATCTGGTTGTTCCAATTCCTTTATATCGATAATCTGATCAATAGTAGTCGGAGTCTGATTAAAATCAGCCCAGTTTCCAAGGTTATTCTTATCTAAATCTTCTATTTGAAAATTAGCCCAATTCTTATCAGTATCTAAAGAATAGGATTCAGTGTGGTTATTCGATGTTGCAATCGACTGATCAAAATTCGCCCAATTTTCTTCTGAAGTAGTTTTTATCTGATCGAAATTTGCCCAATTTTCAGTTAATTCTAATTCAGGCTTTATATCATCAGTTTTTAATTCTGTTGGTTGATTATCATCAGTCTGGTATACTGAGGATAAAGCTTTTATTTTACTTGTTGACTCTTCAACAGTACTTTGTATTCTTGCTGTAAGCTCTTGAAATTCTTGCCAACCTTTAGAATGTGGTGATGATTCAAGCTTAATTATTTGTTCAGTTTTATCTCTAGGACCTTTAAGGAGACGATTTAATTCTTGTTGTTCTTTTCTTTGACGTCGTTCAGCTTTAGTTTCCCCTCGTAGAATACGTTGTATAGCTTTTTTGGGATTTGGTAGAACACTTTTTTCAAAATGACTACGAAATGGAAAGTTTGGATCTGGATCTGATGGGAGTGGTCCTGAAAAAATTTCAAAAGAAATGAAACTGAAATTTAGTGAAATAAAAGATTCGAAACCGCTTCAACAAACTACTAATTATTATTGCCAACGAGCAAAAGATGTAAATATCGTTTCGATAAAGATTCCGTAAAGATAGAATTCCATTATGAAGATTATAATTTATGAAGTTTGAGTCGAGTTACCACCACCTTTTGTACATTGAATAGTCTTGAAACCACCGAAAAAAGACCAGACTATTAATAGTGAGGTAAAATTTACTATTAATGAAGAACTTGGGTGAGGCTATAATTTATGGATGACCTTTGAGCGATGATCAAGTGACCTTGAGAAAATGCAACCAATTATTAGGGTCAGAAGAAGGCAAAGAATTAGTGTGAGGAAATAGGAAAAGGTTTCAGTTTGATAAAATGGAGTTAGTAATTAAAGTTTCCATCACAGAGTAACACCAGCTCTAATGAGAAAATAATATTTAAGCAAATAGATGATTGGATCGTACGCCAAAATTCAAGACTCAATATTCTGAATCTCATGGGTTCATTTATAAATTGTAGTCCCTCTAGGATTTTGTAATTATATTTTTAATTAACAAGAAATTAGGTTACTAATTTTAGATAATGGATAACACGGGAATCCAGGAATATCACTTTGTAATAAAAACTATTTTACATTGAATAGTTTCCAAAAACTCCTTTTGTTGAGTTTATTACAATAGAATATTAAGACACGTATTAAGATTTATTGTATTCCATGCTAGATTTACAGTTCATATCCACATAAATTATGACTCAAGAAATCTACTGAATTTGATAATGAAATATTGAAAATTAAATATGAAAGTTCACCAAGTACCGAGCAGCTGCAATGAATAGACATATTCCGAAACCTAAGACTTATTTTACGATAGTAATTGCCAACTTAAAGGGTTGGTTCAATTTGACTATCGTGACGATTATATCAGATAAATTGATCAGAGAGCTATGAGTAAAATAATCAATTTTCACATCCGAAAACGAAATTTGACTAAACTGGACATTGAAATATATTATGGTCCTTTCAGGTTCTATGACATGTATGAGAAATGATTAGTTTTAATATAGTCGATTAGTAGAGTATATGACTTTTATTTTAAAATCATCCTTATTCTTATAAATATACGTCCGTAGTGATAAAATCCTAGTATAAAAACAGGTGAAACGTATAGTGTCAATACTAACTACCTTAGATCATATAATCAACCTTGATTAAATCATATGAAACTCGTTTTCCTGCAACACATCTATGATCTAAGATATCGTATTTCTGGCTAACAAAATATATATTCTACTTTCATTCAATATCTAAAACTTTAAGGCTCTTTCACAGACTAGCCAAAATCATCAGCAACCAAAGTTTGTTATAAAGATGTTGAATAGACTAAAAGTAAAATATTTTTATAGCAATCAATGACATGATATATGTGCGCTTCATATTTTTAAAACCGAATGAAGGTAACTGGAAGGCGACCAAGTTTGTCTGTCTTGATCTCATCATCGAGATAAATTTGTTAAAATACTTGTATTGTTATATTTCATGGTGTCACACAGTTTGATTGAAAAGTCTTATGACCAGAAGCAGCAAACTTCAAGTGCAAGGACGAAACCGAACTCTAATAAGGTGTTCTCTTGTGATGCTCACCATCTGTTGCGATGATGTATTACTGTAAACAAAATGGTGAGTTCGGAAAGGGTGGTCGTAGAAACAGCATCCACCACTTTATCCATGAAATTTCCGAGTCAGCTAAAAGTCTAAAGAAATTATGAAGGCACCTCTAGAAAACTGATAAAAAATCTAAAAAATGTTGTATATTACTGAACTCAAGCAATTCAGACTCGGACTACGAGGTTATTTCAACAGCTTTATAAAATGAATGACGAGACTGTTTTTCCAGGTCCTAGTCAGTCATAAAAGTATATTGTTAATACATTCATCAATTGGGGTGGCTACACTTCAAAACACCTCACGAAAAGGAAACTGACAAGATAAAGTCTAGAAGAGTTGGGTAGTAATATCTTTGCTAATCGGAAACTATGAATAAAAATTATAATCCAAAAGGAAGGAATGAAATCGGGAAATGAAAAATGTGAAATACTGAGGATACTTTATTTAAAACAGTTTCAAAGCTCTCTTTAGTAGCCTCATCTTGAATATCAGCATACAGAACATAAGTGTAGTTATTTGCTTGACTTTACCTAATTGATGTAACAAACCCAGTTATTTCACCATTGGAATGTATGAAACTTGACGTGAACTTTTAATAACCTCATTGAAGTGCGTATGAAACGAAGATTGATACTTCTGAATTGAATCTAAGACGACAGTTACCTGCACAGTTTCGGATGGAATGATACGACAAGGACTTGGAAAGATCAGAATACACACTTCTGCCTGTTCTGCACATTTTGCTACTCTCTTATTGATCGTGACTCGGAAATAGTATGAGACGAGCTCAGGCTATAGTTTTCTTAAACGCTATGAAAGTCTTATGATCGAATGTCGTCATAGTAGTTCGAAACTTTATTACTCAAACATGTGAACTTATTAAAGTACAAAGACTCTAAGGTAGGGTTTTGGTGTTCTACTGTAGATAAAATTTGGCTGAAGCCGTTTAACAAATACATCAACTTTAAACAAATGGGAATTCTGGTGACTAAACTAGACAGTGAACGGTCATATGATACTGTTATGGAGTTTTAATAGAGGACTTCGGTTTCTATTAGATCACATGTCTGAACCACATTAATACTGAAACTAGTGTATGTATTCTTATACAGCTTATCCGAGCTCCACATTAAGGCAAATCTTTGAATAGATTAGTGTAATATTAAGCCCATTTTGAAATAGCCATAATGTATGTAAGTAACTTGAATAGAAACTCAGGAAAGGTATTTTTCTTTGAAATAATGAAGGTGAAAATATATGTATCAACTTCACCTTTATCCTACGTTAGATCTTTTAAACATAACGACACTTAGCTAAACTTATATTGCTTGGGCTCAAAGTTCCATTTGCCACAAACGATAGAGAAGTTTCTTGACTACGAACAGTGCTGAAAGAGGTATAGAAAGCATAAATCAACCCACTAAATCCTCTTCTATTAGGCGGAGCCTACAGAAAACTATCATTTAGAGTTAATACGTTGGATTTTGTTGGTCAAAGCTACTCCCTTTCGATTTCCATTCAATTTTACCGTGCATATACTTTTAGATGTTACATCCTCATTGTTTCAAATGAAGTGTGGAAGGATATTAGACGTGAATTTGCTCTTTTACTCTCATGTCTACAAAAACTCCGGTAAAAATTAAGTAATTCCACAGGGATACGCACTTGTATTTGCAATCCGTAAACTCAACACACTTCTTATGAGACTTACAAAAGTCATCGTTTTTCCACCATCCAATCATTACATAAATGTCTTAGACCGATCGTATAGATATTCTGGCGTTTTGACTTACGACTTTTCATTGTCTTAATAAGTTTTTCATTATTATATCAACTTAACATCGGTAAAGAAAACAAATATCTTTTGCTTCTTACTATTTAAAAAACACAAACACTAATCAGTGAAAACTTCTGTCTAGTGAAAAAGTATATTGAGTCTGTTTTGAATATAAACTAACTTCCTAATGGTTATACTCCAAATACTTACAGAGATAATATTCCACTTGTCAACTTATGCATATAACAGATCTTAATTGTTCTTAACTCACCTGAGTAACAATGCGGAATATCACTTGTAATACGATAGGCACTACCATACTGTGATGTTGCTTACGATTTATATTACTTAGAATTACTTCAGTAGTTTGTCACGAAATACAAAAGATATTAGAAATCTTAAGGGCTATGAGCGACGAAGTACTTTAAAAGTAACATTAGAAATAAGAACTATGCTGCCTTAAATCCTTATGCCAACCAACTACCGGAAAAAAGATAAGCAGGGAGGTCTTGTTTGGAATCAGAGGATAATGACGAACAGGATAAATATTTGTTTGTAACGTTTTGTGATATCAATCTTACGATTATGTATTTATGAGAAATTCAACCTCCACTCATGATGTATTATGAACACATATCAACCCCATAGTAGAAGATCCTGCTCAGATTATTTTTTGAAATTATAATGTGAAGTATGATTAAACTGATTTCATTTCAATAAAACACCCAGAAGTTAAGGTCAAATAAGTCATCCCACAAGTCAATTTGTTAAGTAAATATTTTGACCTCTTCTAGAATTTGGGTAAACTGGTGAAACAAATATATTCATACACTTTACAAACGTACTCCCTACAAAGCTAATCATTGGCAAGTATCTTATCATTTTGAATACCGACCGTCGCTGCTACCTTGACGTGGTGGTCGGGCTTGTCTATCGTGATGAACCAATCGAGCTATACTGGCTGGAACAATCGTTCCTCAAGGTTCTATCATGCCAGACAGATCGGTTGAAGGCCAAGAAGACTAAAAGCAGCAAACCCAAGGTCCGAAGGCGAAGTTGTACTGCCGACTGTACAGTGGTGTGACGGTAGTAAGGAGTTTCCTTCAGAAAACCGGCATAACAGCTATGCTGACTTCTCACAAGGAAGAGTTGGGTTAAAGAAGGTTGACCCTAAAAATGTACACCACGCCTTATCCCACGGATAACCGTCTCCGGCGGTAAGGTCCCAACAAGTACGGAGCTCACAAGAAAATTACTCACGAAAAGATCGTGTGTAAGCCGCCCCAAGCAGTTGTCCTTTGGATACTACGGTCACTCTCTCATATCACTAAGACCATTTCTTATGCAATTTCTTTCTCAGGTACTTCTAGAAGAACCCTTACGTGGTGTGTGAAACCGGGAAGTGATGACCTCCCTCATGCCTCTAACAGAACTCAAGATCGCTGTATTCATAATCAATCTCCTTCTTGGATTCCTATTATTCCTCCCACCTTGACACGTCGTTTCTTTCTCGCTCTCACTGAC